GGCACTGAGAAAACTTTTTAAACATTGACTTTTTTTTAACTGTCACCTCTGTTTCCAGCATATCAAGGAAGTCATGGTTTCACCAAAGTTCTGATATTCAATCCAAAGAGAGCCGTGAATTTAAAACGCAGCCGTCTACACAGACGTCAGAACCAGAAGGGACCTTGGGAACAAGCCATCCATGTGGATTCCCCAGGAGACTTGACCCCCCTCAGGTTTAGCCCAATTCTCATTTTGTAGATGAGGAAGCGCGGCTGTGAGAGGGGAAGTAACAGGCCAAAGCCACCCACAAAAAAGGGCAGGACCAGACCCCGGGAGCTTGCGGCTTCCCCTTCCAACCTCTCAATTTCATGAGTCCAACCAAAATTCAGACACTGAGCGTGCGTGCCCCTCACCCCCACCTTCTCCTGGACCCTCAACTCTAGTCTTCTAGTACTTGTCTCTGTCCCTCGGAAAAGGGAGTCCGGTTGTGCAGATAAAGGTAAGATTTATAAGCCCTCAGGAAGAAGACGCAGCTTCCTTCCACCACTGCAGTCTCTATCGCGTCATTCGGCGAAGGGCTAGAGAGCTCCAGTGAACGGTTGAGAGCATTTCCATATCCACGGCATTTACAAAACACACTTTTCCTGGGAAGAGTGAAGTTTAACCTAATTTCTTCCAGTTACAGGTACAAGGCTCACGCAGGGTGGATGGAGCTCAGGGGCAGACAGGAAATGCTGCCAGCCCACCACACCAAAGACACTGGTCCACACGGCCAGGGGAAAGTGATGGAATCTCTGCCATGCCAAAAACTTTCGTCCTTTTTTTTTTTTCGGTCCTAACCAAATCAAACCACCTTTAACCAGGTGTCTGGATTCCTCTGGTTTCAATTTGTGTTTTATCCTCCCTCCCCCTGCCTTTCCTCCTTTATTCTTCCTTTCCTCCCTCCTTCCTTTCCTTCTTTCCTTCCTTGAGCAAACAGACACTGAGCACTCACGATGTGCCAGGCACATCCTGGCAGCTGGGGATAGAGCAGTGAACAAAATAGACCAGGTTCTGGGGTTTATGTTCTAAAAGGAGGGATCAAGGAAGAGTTAAATAAATAAATATATACCTTGTCAGATGGTGACAAATGTTGGGGAGAAAAATAAAGCAGGACAAGAGGGCTAGAGAATGGCAGGGAAGAAGGGCATTTATCTAGGACGGCCAGGTTAGGGCTCTCTGAAGGAGGTGAAGGAGCGAGCCATACAGACATCTGGGGGAAGACATTTCAGACAAAAGGATCTGCAGGTGCAAAGGCCCTGAGGTGGGATTTTCCTGGTGCATTCAAGGAACACCCAGAAGTCTAGTGTGGCATGAATGAGGAGGGAAGTGGCTGGTTAGAGAGGCAGGCAAGTGGGAGCCAGGTCAGGCTGACCTTGAAGCCACAGTAAGGCCTTTGGTTTTACTCCAAATGGGATGGGAGCATGCAGAGGAATAACCTAACCAGCCCAACCAGGCTTTACCAGGACCAGCCTGACCGCTGCTGTTATCAGGCCACCTGGGCTAGAGGACCAGACTCAGGAACCAGGCCCTAAGCCCAGCACAGCCTCTAGGCAGCAGTGCAAAAAACTCCTCTCTTCTCTGGGCCTCCAGATTCTCCTCTGTGAAATGGGAGGATAAGACTAGATGATGTCTAACGTCCTTTCTACCATATTCTTATTTTCTGACCCTAAGACAGATTGCCCAAAGGATCTAAAAGTCCCACCCTCTGACTGGGAGAAGGGAAGGGACAGCAGCCAAGTTTTAGAAGCCCCCAACCATTCCCCACCGCCTCCCGTGCCCCAAAGCAAATTCTCACCCTGCAAAAGGCACAGCTCTCTAGGGAGAAAGGTCCAGCCCAGGAAGCAGCCACGTCAGCAACGTCCTCTAAAGATTACGAAGGGTGACCACTAAAGATAGCGCAGCCTCCACACACGTTTCAGGGTGGGGCTCGGCCCGCAGAGGCCTCTGAGAGCCGCTGCCACAGCTGAACCAGAGGGCATGGCTGAATCTGCTCCTGCCCCACCTGCCAGCCTCCCCTGTCTCCCCAACTTCTGTCCTGGAGTGAGAATGAAAGTTCTGGGGTTTACAACTGCTCCATCCTGTCCACTTCCTTGAGGGTTCTCTCCATGTCTCACATCATCAAACTGTCTCAGAAAGCAAGGCTGAGGTGTCCTCCATCAGGCTGGAGAAGCAGGGTTTGTCTCTCCCCCATCAGACCGGCGGCTCCCAGAAAATATGAACTGTCTCACCCACCAGACTGTGAATTCATCCTACGCCTCCTCCATCAGACTGGGGGCTCCATGAGGGCTGCGGCTGTATCTTCTCCAACAGATTGGGGGCATCTGACGTCAGGGGCTGTGCCACCCCCATTGGACTGGAAGCTCCCTGGGGACAGGGCGTAGCTGCCGCTTTCCCTCTATGGCCTCACTGCATCCCATAAGGCTTCTGTATATTTAGAGATTTCTTAAAACAAGGTGCCGACTGATGCACTCAGACTGAACCACCTACCCAGGCACGAGAGCCTGTGATCCCCAGCCATTAAATGATCCACAAAAACCATCTCAATACAAACCTCCAAGCTGAATAGAAAGAAAACAAAATTAAAAGTTGGCCTCACTCAACAACTTTTTGATAGGCTGTTTATAGGTTCTGGCCAAAGCCTGTCCCCATTTTATAAATAACCCTTTCTGGTGACTGTGGCTGAGGCCAGACCAAAATGCACCTTGAGAACCAAGAGCAGGGAGCCCACCAGCTCAGGCTGACCAAAGCCCAGTCCCATGTGGGGGGCAGCTCACCGCCCAGACACAACCATCCTCTCAGCTTCCAAAGGGGGCTTCTCCAAGGCAGTCACACCAAATGATGCGGTGGGAAATGGGAAGTTGGCTATGGGAATTGGAATCAGGAGAGTGGAATGAGGAAGAGACCCAACTCAGAGAGGCAAGCTAACGCCTCCCTCAGGGTCAGGGAGGAGGTCAGGGGTGGGTGCGCGGAGATGGGGACCGAGAGCACATGGCCGGCTCAGAACAAGCTCCTGCGCCTCCTGGAAGAAGCAGAGGCCACTCCAGACACGGGAGGGTTGTAGGCGTGGACTCGGGGAAGCCACCCAAGGCTCCCCTGGAATCTAGCATGCTGGTTCTTCTGGGCAAAGGGTTTCTGCAGAACTGCAGAGGATGGGCAAGAAAGTTGGAACTTCCAAGGGTTAAAACCAATAAAAATAATCATAGCTAACACTTACGGCACTGTGCTAAGTACTTTCCATACCCTAACTTGGCTAATCTTCATAACAAAGCTAATACCACTCCCCTTTTACAGACAGGGGACCGAGGCCTACCTCAAGTCATCCAAGGTGAGGAATAAAGATTTCAACTGGGCAGTCGCTCCCCAACAGGCGCTCCTGGCCACCTCCCTCTCTGAACACAAAGGGGAAAATCCTAGGGTATTTCTGCTGGTTCCTCTGAACCTGTGGGGTTGAAGGCCACCCAGCAACAGGCGTCTTGAGGGCCTGGGAGACTAGGTGCTGTAGAGTCAGACAGAGCCCAGCAGGGTCCCGGTGCCATCTCCCACTGAGCTCAGAGCTTGGATACCCTGAAAATGCCGCCCTACTAGTGTCGAGGGCCGTCTCCTTTTGGGAGTCTCGGGTTAACAAAGTCCTGCCCTCTCTCTATCTAGTGTATCCATAGGAGAAACAGCGACAACTGGAGGAGGAGCAGGTGGCAGTGACAGGTCCCAGCTCCCACCGGAAGCCCACAGCCTGTCTGAAAACTCAGGAAACACTGGATAGACTTATTTTTAAACTGTGTGCTAGTCACATTTTGAAATAAAATTCTCAATATGTTTTTCTTCAACCTCCACACCTTTTCAGGTGAAGTTCAGCTAAATGTAATAAATCAGCGAGTCCAACTGTGACACTACAGAGTACCCAAAATGTCTGAAAACTGAAGGAAATGGTGGATGTATTGTACTGTTTTTCAGATGAACAACTGGACCCCATTTCTGTATACGATGGCTGTCTATGTATTGACACTATTGGCATTTCAGGCTGACAATTCTTTGTTGTGGGGGTGTCCTGTGCACTGTAGGATGTTGAGCAGCATCTCTGGCCTCTACCCAGTGGATGCCAGTGGCATTCTCTTTCCTTTCCAAGTGTGACAACCAAAAATGTCTCCACACATCACCAAACGCCCCTGGTGAGGGGTGGGGGGGGGGGGGGGGGCGTGGATCACTCTCTGTTGAAAACCAGCGCTTTATGTTTAGATAAACTTCAACTGAAAAGGTGTCTGAAGGTTGGGGAAAAAAACATATTGAGCACAGTACTGAAGATGTAACTGACACGCTACTTAAAAATAAGTGCATCCTATTTTTCCTGACTTCTTGGATACCGTGTATTTGCCAATTTTTGGTGTGGCTGCCATGCCTCTTGCCTGTGAATCCAAACATTTCATGCCCCGATCCCCATGCCCCACACCTCCTCCCAACCCCAGCTTCCCCAGTCCCATTCAGGTCCACCCCCCAAACCAACCCACCCTCAGGTGTTCAACACACCAGGAGGCCCTTGCTCCCTGACTGAGTCAGACTGCTGCTGAAGGACCCTGCAGGGGTGAGATCAGAAACTACCAGGCTCAGGGACTCCAGCAGCTTCTCAGGCAACAATGGCCACACCCAAGAAAAAAGATCCATTTTCATCACCAGTGGGGTGGATCCATCCCACTCTCCAAAGCCTCATTTGAATACGTGGCCTGTCTCAGCCCCCAGAAGTGAGCTATGCCAAATACAAAATGGGTCATAGAGATACCGAATCTAAAAGACTGTAGAAGACCAGCGACCTGATAGAAAAAATCGGCAAAGAATAGGAACCGAAAGAAAAGGAAATACACATGGATCTTAAACTTGTGAAAAAATGCTCAACCGCATTCATAAAAGAAATGCAAATTAAAACTAACTGAGATACCAATTTTCATCTATCAGATTGGCAAAGATCAAAAAGTTTGATAACTCACTGTGTTGGCGAGGATGTCTCATTCATTGAGGGTGCTGGTGTAAATTGCTACCAGCTCCTAGAAAGGATACTCGCAAGGTCTACCAATATCACAGACGTCTACAAGCTCTACCAGCAATTCCACTTCTAAGAACTGATTCTGAGACATGCTCCCACATATGCAGATTGGTGTGTATACAGGATTCTCACTGCAGTCTGCTTTGTAATGACAGAAGACTGGAAACAGCCCCCACATCCATTGTCAGGGGACTGCTTTAATAAATTACGGGTCATCCACAAAATGGAACGCCATGCAGCTGTAAAAAAAAAAAACAACGAGGGCATTCTCGATGTCATGACATGGAACCATTTTCCATGTCTACGGTTAGGTAAGCCAAGTAAGGCACAAAATCACATGAATAGGACGCCAGCAGTTGCTGAAAAATACTATGTGTTCATATCTGGATTAATAGGCATCGATTACCTTTGAAAAAGATAATCAAAAGCTAAAACAGTGGTTACTTCTAGAGAGGGTAAGGGGGAGACTGGAGGCAGGGAGGGGAGGATACCCCTTTAGGCTCTGTAACTTCCGACTTTTATACCACGTGCACGCTACTCGATAAATAAACAGACAAGAGAAAACGACTGTACGAAACTGGTCTAGCTCGACCGTCAGTGTTCATGTGTGCATCCAACAGACATTACAGTCGGTTTCCATTTTAAATTCTCTATTCCTATAAGTACCCATACTCAGCACTTCAAACACCCCAGGTTTTTTCTTTTTTTTCTTTTTGATTCAAAAGTAGGATGACCACCACATCCAGAGCACACACGAAACTCACCAGCTTCCCTCCTCAACCAGGTTTTAAAAGCATTCATCCTCAAAACCACCTTCTTTATCAGAAAAATGTATAGTCGGTGACACTGGGCCCGCTGCCACCCTGCAATTCCACATGCAGACAAGCGGAATCTTTTAGAAGGTGCTCTGCAGGACCACCTGCTTGAGACCCAGGGGCACCCACCCATTTAACAGTACCTCAAAGCATCAGCTGGAACTGCACATCACAAAGTGACCTGGACCCCCCACTGCCTATTGGAAGTGGTAGGAACCCCCAGCAGCCACCAAGAATCCTCCCGCAGCTCTGTCTATGGCAATGTTTCACTGGCATCTTACTCAAAGGTGCCACAGCCATCCCTTTTAAACCTACCCCACTACTACTGCCACTTCTTCATAAAATAACCCTTATATTTTAAGCCATAAATCAGCGTTGGTCAAGTTCTAAATTGGGCTACAGCAATATTTATTCATCAAAGGATAAATCTTCCTTGTATAGTCATAACACTGCCTAATAATTTAATATGCTATCATTCTTACCTGAAACTTGTCAAAAAGTGGCCTGAAAGAGGCATGGGTTTTATAGTTGACTGGCCGTGAGTCTACAGTTTATTAAATAGTTCATAATTTTAAATTCTCTCTATGGTGTGGGGAATAACACAGGGGACATCTCCTATACAGAACAGCAATTCGGGGATTCATTAACCTGTTTTGGGGTAGAGAAAAGCAGATTCCCCAGAGGACCAAGGACTCCTCCAATACAGCCTTAAGATGGGTGGTACACAGAGAAAAGCAAGGAAAATTTAAATTGTAGGATTTTGTCTGGAGTCGGGGCAAAATTCACTAAGTGAGAGAATTAATGTTGGGGGACAGGTCCATGGAGCAACAAGACAATATGGAGAACTGTTAGAAGAAAAGGTTGAAAAATGCCTCTAAGCTGCAAAATTATTCCAGCTGGGCCAAGGCACCCATTCCTGGGACCCTTTCAGATCTTTGGAAGAATAAGCTTTCCAGACCTGGCGGATCCACTTCAGTAGAAGAAGAATGTACTTCCCACAGCCCAGCACTAAGACATTGCTCTTTTTTTTTTTTTGAGGAAGATTAGCCCTGAGCTAACATCCGTGCCCATCTTCCTCTACTTTATATGTGGGACGCCTGCCACAGCATGGCTTGCTAAGTGGTGCCATGTCTCTTTAAGGATGAATGGACAGCAACCAGGCCGTCAGATCAAGGTGTCTCAATCCTCGCACTACTGACATCGTGTGCTGATCATTCTTTGTTGCGGGGGCTGTCCTGTGCATTGCAGGGTATCTAGCAGCATCCCAGGCCTCTACCTATTAGTTGCTAGTAACACCCCTAACCAGTTGTGACAACCAAAAATGCCTCCAGACATTGCTGAATGTCCCCTGGGGGCAAAAGTGTCCCCAGTGAGAACCACTGTCCTAGATGAAGTGAAGTCTAACGTGACGAAGGCAGGCTGTTGGAGATGACTCCATTCCACTCCAACAAATGTAACCCGCTTCCTTTATGCCGCTCTTTCTCTGAAGTTTCAAACTACAAATCTAAGAAAATGCAGAAATTAGAACATCAATATTTAGAGTACTTAGCTAGACTTTGGTGCCCTTTCTCCTCTCTCAATTCTGCAGTCCCCTCCCACATACCCCCCACCCACCAGCCGTCACCTTCTACTCCTCACTTAGCCCCCATTTCCTTTACGTTTTTCCACAGCCTTGCGGTTCACCCTGGCACAAGAACATGCCTCAGGCTGGCATTCACTGGTGGTTAATGACAAGGTGGGTTTCTAAGCCACAAACACTATTAATTTTAAACTGTTCAAATTCTCTCTCCCTGTTCCTGGGCGAGCGGGCACTGAACTCCTTACAGAACTTCAACAAATAACCAAACAAACGTAGAGAATCACTTTTTAATTAAAAAAAAAAAAAAAAAAAAAAGCCATGTTCTTATGTTCCACATTCCAGGCCACATTCCCCACAAGAATTTTACAATCAACAGACCAAGATGCTACACGGAACCTGCTGTCTAGATCTCAGGGCATGAAAACCAACTGTGAGAAAAGAGAATCTGGGATGAAATCACATAAACGTTGCTAAAAGATTCAGCTTTGGTTTCATGGTGGAGTTAAAAAAAAAAAACAACTTCCCTTTATTAGGGTGGTATTAGAACAGAATGGGAAATACTAAAACGAAGTTGGACCAGAGGTTTAGAATGATTTTTCATCCGTTTATACTTGTCTATCAAGCAGTGAGGTGGTGCCCGACCCCCAAAGGCAGAAGAACGGAGAGCCGTGAGCTGGGCCCACCTACGCAGCCTCAGGCTCGGGGCTGGGTGGCCTCACATCAGGGTGCAGTGGCGACCGACCACAGTCGAGTGATACGGCACCCCATCATGCAAACCAACCTCTCTGCATGTTTGATTCATAAAAACCTGAAAACCAGACTGTGTGAGATTTGCCTTAAAGCTCTACCTTCCTTCCCCAAGTCTCATCCACTTGAGATATGCCAGCTGTCACCACCACCGCCGAGCAAGCCTCTATACAGTGTGGTGGCATCGCCGGAGTAAGAGACGCCTAATGCTTGGGCTCTTCAGAAGGTGGAGCCTCTGCTAGCAAGTTGTTTAGAACCCCCTAAATTAGCCCATGAATGCCAAATTCCGCCAGAGGTGGTCCCGCTCAGGTTTTTAAAAAATTGTTTCAGTCCCATGCCCTATTCGTCCCTTTCATTGTGAATAAATTCACTAAATTAGCTGACTGTCCGGCTTGCCTCTGCCCTCCATACCCGAACTCCAACAAGATTTTAAAAAACAAACAAAACAGAAATGAAGCCACAGAAGGGCTGGAAGGTGCCCAAGTCACATGGGCCGAGACTCACAGGTGAACAGTGCCTCTGCCACACAACCCCGCCACCAAGGCTTGAACTTGAACACTCGGCAGGACTTAAACACAATCTGATCAGGGCAAAGCCAAAATGTTGCAGACTTCAAATACAAGTGGGGAAAGAGCGGGCTTAAAAGGGGAAAAAGAAACCCTTAACTTTTCCTCAAAACGGCCTGCGCCCAGGGGCAATCCCATGGAATACGGTTGACACATAAATCTGCAAGGCTGTGGCAGGTAGCGAGGTGGGTCTGTGCATCAGTGGCAAGGCTGCCTATCCATCAGCAAAGCTAAAGGAGTCAGGGTCGGGACATCCTCTGGACCAGCAAGCTTCCCCCAGAGAGACACTCTTGCCAGCCCACAGACCACACTCTAAACCCAGCCATCTCAGAAACTGATGCCAGTGCATACAGAAGGCGACAAGGGGGACACGTGAAGTGACACAAGTGAACTAAGGGGCAGGACACCTGCTCCGTCATTTCAGGTCACTGACCTTATTGTTCCAGGCCTCCAGTGTCCGTCTGCACAATAGAGTTCCCTCAGCATTAACTAGGATCATACCTGTGACCTAGCACCAGGCCTTTGGATCCAAAGAACATGCCCAGTAAGTGCTGGCTTACCTTTCCTGTTTTCATTATTCGTTATTAATATTATTCAGCCATCACTGATTGAGCACCTATGAAATCCTCCCTTCCAACTTCATAAGCTTGGCAGGGTAAATTGCAGAAAGGCAGGTAAAGCTTCTACAAACACACAGCTCTAATCACTAGCGCCGTTATTACTGTTGGCTCAAACCCCACTCAAAGCCCCATCACAGCTAATTCAACCTGACCTCACGGGGCTCCACTATCCAGAGGGGCCACCATCAGTAGCTTCAATCCTCAGGACCGTATTTGCTCTTCAAGTGAAAAGCTACTTGTCTAAACTAACACTCTCCCTCTCTCCATCTGGCCAGCCAGGGATTGTTCCCTACGTGTGAAGTGTGTCTCTGGACGTGTGAAGTGTGTCCTCCCCAGTGGGAGGCATCTTAGGGAGTGACATTTCTCGCAAGGCTTGGCGGGGTCTTGTCAAAGTCAACATACGTGGGCCCTCACAATACCAGAAACTAATTATTGAGTTTGCGCTCTCTCTCCTTTTTAAGTCGTTGGTAGAAAATGAGAAACTGAGGTAGCGGCAGAGAAAGAAAAAGTGTGGGGGCAGAATTCTACTTTCCCCGAGGTCTTCAGTCAAGTACAAGAAGAGTGAAATCCAGTCCAACAAAGTAAGGTCTAAAAGAGGAGCAATTTAAATAACTTTCCCCAGCCCTTAGTAAAGAAAAGCGGAATGAAAGGATCGAACAGCCCCTGAGAACACCGAGGGACATGAATTTGCATACCTTTAGCCAAGCACAGGGGGAGGGCGGTTAGCATCTTCCCTAAACTTGTCTTACACCCACCACACGCTCCCTCCGTGCGCCGCCCGTCTCATAAGAGGCTGAACCATTTAAAACAAAGGAGAACTTCTAACTCAACAATTTAAGAGAACTGTATGATTTTAAAAAGGGGAAAAAAAAAAGGTCAACAGTGTTCTGAGTACACTTCACGAGCTTTGTTCTGCTCACTTCCCCACTTCCTGTTGCTTCCTCACCTCGTCACATTTCAGTTTTGAAGCATATGTGTTTGCTCTGGTATCACTGTAAGGTTTCAGTGGGAGGCCGTCGGTGGGACCAGGATGAGGACCATACCATTCTGAGGCACGAAATCACAACCGCCCGACCATCAGGAAAGTACACCCAAAATTTCACCCCCTCCCGTCAACAGTGGGTGTGCTAGGAAAACGCTTGTGGGCGAGCTTGACTTTGTGGGGAACGTCCTGTGTGGGCAATGGCCACCTAACCACTAGCATATACCAGGTGGCTTAGAACTAGGAACCAAGGGAGAAATACTCGGCACCCCACAGACCAAGAAATACCCTAATTCCATTCCAGCCCCTAAATCCTACCCCAAACCCTGCACTCCAGGGAGCAGTTGCCACTTGGAGAAGAAACTGAAAGACTTAATGTTGTGTGAGTGGGACCTTGGCCAAGCTATGGCTTACCATAAAGGTCAGAGCAAAAACGGACATGAAAACCCATTGGCCAGCTGCCTCCTGTTACAGAGGAGGAAACAGAGACCAACCCTGCATCACAAAGCTAATTTATCAATAGGAGAGCAGATACTGGATGCCAGTTCTCAACCTCCCAGGGCAGGGCTTCTCAACAGCTTATCAAAGGAACATGGAGCAGATGCTCAGGAAATATTGGCTCAGCCATACTGGACACTGGCTGGTTCAGAACTCACAGGGAGTGGGGAGGCTAAAATACTTTTTGTCTGCAGACACCAGAAGGTCTCACCTTCTAGACATATGTTTAGGGAGAAGGGTAGCCTGTCCTCATGATCTACTCTGGCTCCTGAATCCTGGAGTTAGGGGCTGCTCTTCAGTGGGTCCCTAAACTAGCTCACTGAACCCACCTGCCATTATTCCCCAGCCAAGGATAAAAAAATAAAATAAAATCTGGGAGACGGTGGTTCTGCACAAGGCACAGGACTGGGAGTGGAAAACTGGCCTCCATCTTGGTGAACACAAGGGGGGCCTCAGAGGGAGTCACCCTGCCCTCCTCCGTGCCTTCCTGTGTGTGTGTACACCATGAGAACACTGACCTCCAAGAAGCCGCCAGCCCTGTGCATCTCTGATTCTAAACTTGCGCATCCTCTCCCACCCCCTGACCACCACAGCACTCATTCTCCTCCCCCTGCTTCACAGCTCAGCCTTCCTGCTCGCTCCACCTGCCCAGCACATCTGTGAGCCCTCAGATCAGAGATCCGTACACTGGAGGGTCCCGTTTGTTTTTGTCCCTAATTTGAGCTTCCCCGTGGGCTCTCAATGTGCCTTCCTGAATCATCCCCATGGAGTAAGGCTTTGCTCCCAATTACTCAACCAATAAAAACACAATGAGGGACTACTGTGCACAGCGTGCCCGCCTGGCTAGAGGGTGTCCGTGTTTCAAGGGCAGTGAGACAGACACTCAGGGTTGGAATAGAAACAGCCAAACCCCAGACCTGCCCCCTGAGCCTTGATCTCCTTCCCCCGGCTGATAGATACATCCGACATCACAGTATACGTTTACATATTTATTTGCTATCTGTCTAGCTCACTAGAAGCAAG